GAAGAAGAAGGGCATTTGGAATCAGCCCAGGGAATGGTGGGTGGAAACAAGGACATGGAGGGTGAAGTATTCAGGAAGTAGGAGTTTAAGAAGAGCCAAGGGAAATTAGAGGTTGCTGTCTCTGAAGAGCCTTATATGTCAGGCTTGGAAGTCTGTGCTTAACTTGGTAAATAACAGGGGCCTTTGAATATCAAGCCATCTCTCCTCAGTAAATTGGTATGTATTGGGTTTATCTAGAACCCAAGGATTTTCTAAGAACATTTAACACATAAATAAATATAGAAACAAGAGACTTATTCTCCTATGGTCAGACTGGAAGAATGTAAATTCAGTATCATCAATACCCTGATAATTACCCATAAGCCCTTTCACTTGTCAACAAGTTATGTCATCAACAAGTTAAAACAAAAATGCCACGAAAGGGGACTTCCCTGGTGGTCCAGCAGTAAAAGAATCTGCCTTCTAATACAGGGGATGCAGGTTTGATCCCTGGTCGGAGAACAAAGATCTCACATGCCGCGGGGCAACTAAGTCCCTGCTCCACAACTACTGAGCTCGCGCACCTCAACTAGAGCCCGCATGCCTCAAACTACAGAGCCCATGCGCTCTGGAGCCCCTGCACCACAACTAGAGAGAGAAAACCCGCATGCCACAACTAGAGAGAAGCCTGAGCACCACAATGAAGAGGCTGCACGCCGCAACCAAAGATCCCGTGTGCAGCAACTAAGACCCGATGCAGCCAAAAAATAAAGAAAAAAAATGCCACAAAAGGACAAAGGCAAACACATATTACTTGAGAGTGAACAATAACCATCCCAAGCTTTCCAAAATATATCACTTTACACACCAATAAGCATTTAATTTTGACCTTTAATTTTAAAAGAGCATTTTGGCATGTGTTTTACAATTGTAAAAGTAATACATGCTTATTGCAGAAAACTTGGAAAATATAGAAGAGCAGAAATATGTGTCTGCCTTATTTACCAACACTACCTGCTGGCTCCCCTACTCAGCTGCCCATTCCTCTTTACAAACCACACTCCAGTGTTCTTATAACATGTAAAGCATTCCCTCAATTACTCCCCAGGATTCTGTTCACACTGATGACCAGTACTGATCACACTTGTTAGGTCCTCAACTTCCTTCTGTGTCTTTTTCTCTCCCTTCTCCTTTCCCTTTAAAAAGACCGATTTCATGAGCGACCTGAAAGCAGGGACCAAGTTTTATGCACACCCCTCCCTGACCACTTAGCATGGTAGCACTTGAACTTTCCTTTCTCTTTCATTCATTCAACTGTCCTATGTCTAGTGTTTCAAAGTAAGAAATGTCAAAGCATTGTCTTTAGGTTGGCATTCAAATTAAAAGGCATCTCATGGGGGAAGAAAAACTTTAAATACATAAGCATAAAAGTAACCTGTAAATTGGTTATAAGGAGAGAAATGATCACCCTCACTTGTCAAAACGGGCTCCTCCCAAGGGGCAATAGCTTCAGATGACTTTCTGGCTTTTCCCCCCAATCAACATTCATTTACTAAGCACCTACTGAGCACCTTTGAGGTCATATAGGAGATACAAAAATATACAAGATGGGGCACAACCTTTAGCAGCTTCAGTCTAACAGAGGGGAAAAGACCTGTAGGTTAAAAAACTTCCAAATGAGGTAAAACATGTTAAGTGGCAGAAGACTGCTAGAATATTCTGAGCATTCCGAGATGTGAGTTCTTCCCTGATTGAGGGGATCAGGCATTTGACCCAGGTCTTGGAGTAGGGACAAGAAATACACGCGAGATGTGCGTGTGTGTACGTGCGAGTGTGCCTGGGTGTGGAAGTGAAGGGATTCGAAGCAGAAAGTACAGACTGAGCAAAGGCAGGGAACCTAAGAGACCCAGCAGTGTTTAGGGAAGAGATGGGCCAAACTTCACTGAAGCAAAGAGAGTAACAGAAGAAAAAGCTGGAAAGGAAGCGTGTGAGCCCATGGCCGAGAGCCCAGAATGGCAAACTAATGTTTGGACTCTATTCCCACTAGTTTGGAACTATTCAGTCATTTAGCAAATGTTTCCTTATCATCTGTTATGTGCTGGGTGCTGGGATAGACACAGCGAGATACGGAAAGAAAAACAAGGCATGGGCCCTTGCTCTCCATGTTGACATTCCATGATGACATAACTTTCTAGAAGTATAAACTCAAAGAGGACTTATTAAGAGCAAAACAAAACTGGCCAAAAGACAACACTAGTGACAAGGAATTTTTTTTTTTTTTTGGTTACTTATTGCTGAGTGACAAACTATCCCAAAAGTTAGTGACTTAAAATAACACTCACTTGATTACTTACGATTCTGCAATTTGGGATGGGCTTGATGGAGACAGCTGGTCTCTTTTCCACATGATGACAGCTGGAGTAGCTTGAACGACTGGGGTCTGGCTGGAACGGCCAACTTGTGTCATATGTCTGGGTCTCAGACCTCACCATGGGTTGGTGTTGGGCTGCACCCCGCAGGCCTGCAAGCCTTGTAGTTGCCCAGCCTTGAGGCCAAAGAAAGAGCCTGGAGATGGCGGCGGGGACGTTTATTGGACAGGGGGATCTTACACAAAGGGTCCTGGAGCAACACCCCACCGTGTGCGGCAGACTCCAGGCAGGACATGCCAGCAGTCTTGCTACTCGGGGGAGAAGGAGGCTACTATTTATAGGCGGAATTGACATCAGGTGGGCTCATTGGTTACCAGGGGCTAATTAAGCCCTATAATTAAGAGGATTGGATAGTCATGTGAGTGAAGCAGGGTCTGGACGAGCAGGGCATGTACAGAGAGCAAGAGAAGAGCCATCCTGAGTGGCTGAACCGTATAGTTGGGTTCCTCAGTTCTCCTCCACGTGGCATCTCTGAGTGGTTAGCTTGGTCTTCCTTCCAAAATGGAGACTTCAGACATTCTTCTTCATTTCTGGTAGTCTGGCTTCTTACATGGCAGCTGGCTTAACCCAGACTGCAAAAGAGGAAGCTGTTGGGCTCTTAAAGCATAGCCTAGAACTAGCACATGGCACTTCCAGAACATGCTAATGGTTAAAGCAGGTCCCAAAGCCAGCCCAGATCTGAGGGGAGAGATTTACACAAGGACATGAGTATCAGGAGGCATGATTCATTGGAGGCCACCAAAGCAACAGTCTACCACACGTCTTAAAGTCAAATAATTCAACAGCGTCTTCCACAATTTTAATCAACTGAGTGGCATTCAGTGCACAGATGTTGGTACTCTAGGGCATGTAACCTGCCTGCCCCACTCTACCCCTACCTCTTTGAATGCTGGCAGAATGCAGACATTTCTCACACCACTTACTGATCACTTACTAGAACTGCATCAGATTCTAGAACAAACCAACCTTGCAACATAGTTTCAAACAGGCCAACATCTAGGAAGGAAGAGGGCTGTTAGCTCAGAAGCATCTCACCAGCTCATTCCTGAGCCTGGGTCACTCCCAAGAGCTCCTGGTCAAGTACCCAAGCTTCAAAACAGGAAGAAAGAAACCCCATTCATGTCTGGCTCCAAGTGCCCCTTCGGCCACCTCCCACATCCCATCTCTTCTAGGAGACACCTCGCCCCTCATCTGTGTTACATGGTCCTGTCTCTGGAGAGCTAGGGCAGAAACACTGAGCTCCTGGTTCTCAGACTGACATTAAGATCCCTCTGTAGCATGTGTGACCTTCTTGTGTTTTCCATTTTCAATACTGGACATAGTTGTTCCAGGTATGACCCAAACGCCAAGTTCAGTGGTAGTAACAGGATTTCCGGGAGAAGCTTGGGTAGCAATCTGGTTGGAGGGAAGGTGAGAGGGACTATGAGAGATTTCTTGAAACTTTTTATAAGAGTAATGTGACCCTACTTATAACTAGGATTGATCACCCCAAAATTGACATAAGAGCCGAGACATGATTAATGAAAATATACACTTAGCTCACAAATTAAATAAAAATGTGTACTTAGTACATACAAAAGCGAAAGTTAACTGAGTCAAACAGAAGAGCAGAAGTGGCAGGTGTTTTAAATTTCTTTTATTTTTTTACATTTTTAACCATCCGTCAATTATTCCATAACAAGGCAGTATCACACGATGATTGAACGTAGGCTCCAGAAATCAGGGTTTGAATTCCAGCTCCATCAATTACTGGTCATCTTGGTCAATTTCCCTGTGCCTTAGTTTTCTCATCTACACAATGAGGGTAGTAATAGTACCTTTCTCACAGCTTGCTGTGAGTATTAAGTAATACTTGCAAAGCGCTTAGAGAGTGCCCAGTAAACTACAAACATTCTTAATATATGTTATTCATTATTATTATTCCACACATTATCATTAACTTGAGGTTTTTCAACACATGTTCATCGATTTTTTTTCTCTTTATTAATTCTTGTTTGGAATGATCTTGGAGGCACTGACTGTTGAAGATGATGAGAAGCTAATGATCCCCCTCCACACCAACGTCTTGGTACCTTGGCCAACTTTAAATAGGTCTCGCCGAGAAAAGCTGTTGGGCTTCCCTGGTGGCGCAGTGGTTGAGAGTCCGCCTGCCGATGCAGGGGACACGGGTTCGTGCCCCGGTCCAGGAAGATCCCACATGCCGCGGAGTGGCTGTGCCCCTGAGCCATAGCTGCTGAGCCTGCGCATCCGGAGCCTGTGCTCCGCAACAGGAGAGGTCACAACAGTGAGGGGCCCGCGTACCGAAAAAAAAAAAAAAAAAGGTGTTAATAACAAATGGCAAAGTATCAATAGCAGATAATAAAAAAAACAAAGAAAAAACACTTCAGGTAGTAGTTATTCTCCTAAGCCTTAGAAATTAAAAGTAAAATTAAAAATAAAAATTGGTGGGCTTCCCTGGTGGCGCAGTGGTTGAGAGTCCACCTGCCAATGCAGGGAACGCGGGTTCGTGCCCCGGTCCGGGAAGTTCCCACATGCCGCGGAGCGGCTGGGCCCGTGAGCCATGGCCGCTGAGCCTGTGGGTCCGGAGCCTGTGCTCCGCAACGGGAGAGGCCACAACAGTGAGAGGCCCGCGGACCGCAAAAAAATAAAAAATAAAATAAATAAAAATTGGTGACAGAGATATCCTTAAGAAGAAAATAGCTGAGAAATAAGCACTGAAGCTACATATACTTTAAATGTTTTAAAGTATGCACCCTCTCATCAAATTTGTGTGGGGAGAAAATGAGACATATAAAAGTTATTTGGAATGTACTTTGGGTGTAATTATACAATTCCACAGTATTATTTTTTGCCATCAATTGCTCTCCCAACATCCCCTTTTCTATCATAATCACAAGAAGCAGCAGAAGTATCCAGAGTTTAAAGGGGGAATATCAGCCCCCGGCAATGTGTTCACTGGAACCATTTCCCTGCTGCTCTGTGTTTACAGGATTTTACCTGCATAGAAGTACTGCAGGAGCTCTGGATGATAGTGGCTCTGAAAGAAATTGGCAAAGGGACACGTGAGGAAGGGAGTCAGTAAACCTCCTCGACTCTAGAACGAGCAGACAGTTGTCAAAGGCAGAGCATGAGGATAAACAATCTTCAGATTCTCAGCAGAGGAGGCATCATTACCCAAATGATGATCTAAACTGCCAATATATTTCACCCAACGATCTAAGCTGGAGCTGTCAATATATTTCACCCAATGATCTAAGCTGGAACTGTCAATATATTTCACCCAACGATCTAAGCTGGAGCTGTCAATATATTTCACCCAACGATCTAAGCTGGAACTGCCAATATATTTTATGCATAATCCTCTGGGTGTTTTGCCATTCATATCGCATTATGTGTCAATTACAGTTGAAACATACTTGGCCTGAGTCGTTTTAGGGGGGTAACTCCCTGGTGTGCCCAACCACCTTCTGCATTAACACTGGAAGGGCAGGGAACCTGGGAGAACTTCTCCTGCCCTTGCTCACTCACCAGCTGCCAGCAGAGTTTAGGGTTCCTTTGATCCTCTTCACTCTGGAAGCTGTAGTCCTTCCTTTGTCTTTTCGAGAACAGGCTCGAAAAGTTGTTTTGCAAGCCTGAGAGAAATAATATCACCATCTTATTGTCAAAAATATTAAAGAGTTTTATAATCCCAAGCAAGGAAAAGTGTTGCACCCAATCTGTGGTCTGGGGGCCACGAAGAGTGGAAGTAACTTCCAGGAAGTTTGAAAACTTGAATCTTAAAGGATTTATGCTTATAAAACGACCATGTCTATACTTCGGGGCTGGTGGGGAGGGCAAAGCTTTACACTTTATCACAGCCCTTATTGTCTCATCAAAAGTACTGCTGGATTCCTAAATTCAATCGCAACCTTTCTCTCCCTCTCTCTCTCGCCCTCCCTCATGCGTGACCTTAAAGAAGGCAGGTGATTTGGTGGAACCTTTGCTCCTGGTGGTTTTGAAACACTCACCTGCTCCAAAGCAGCCCTGAGGCTGATCCAACCCGGTTAGGACACATTTTCTCCAAGAATAACACAAAAGCTTCATAGGAAACTAAGAAGCCAAGGGTGGGAAATCTGTACCAGGTGCAGTGACAAAAGCTAACTGGGTATGAATAAATCTCCTCTGATAGGAGGTGCTGCCCCACAGAGCAAGTAGCACCTACCTGCCCCCACCCCCCGACCCCCATTAACTTGAGTGTATCTGGCATTTGACAGGTGCTGGGACCGGGCAAGTGGGGTAAGAGCAAATGGAAAACAACACTCCCGCTCAGAGAGAGATTAGCCATCGAGGAGGCACTTTCTCCAGGATTCACATGGATACAGGGCTGAGTGTCCGTAACTGAACTGGCAGGAACTGAGGGCCTGGCATCTCGACTCGGCAGGGCTGCATTCCAACTCCCTTGAGGAATGGCATTGAGGTTTCATGCTGTTGGCTAGAGTCACGGACTCACCTTGGCAACCTGGGGATTCCTATCCTGTAAATGGGTCAGAAGAGAATCCTGAGTCTGCTTCGCCTGACGGGTGAAAAATCTCTTCCATTTCCGCCCCGCAAAGGCAGCCAGTTGCCCAAACAAGACAAAGGCCGAGTATCTCAGGCTGTCATTCTCCTGTGGGTCCCCCGTGAACAAAACAAGAAACCTCGGGTCAGTACCAAAAGGCAGCCGCATCAGAGAGCAGCACAACCCTGGTCCCTCGCTGCATGTTACATGTGGGACATCAGACCCAGTCTACGGCACTCAGCCAGCCAGGCTCCGGGACAGAGCAGAGACGGGCTGAGTCTTCAGGGAACCTCTTCTTCAGCAGACGAGAGGGTTAGACTGGGGGCTCACTGGTGCTACTCCCAGCTTCCCAGCTTTTTTCTTCATTACTTAACATTTTGGAGATTGATTATATTTACTTGGTTCGAAATTCAAAATAACCAAAAAGGTTTATAAAACAGTAAGTCTCCCTTCCTACACCTCTCCACCCGCCACCAAATTTCCCTCCCCACAAAGTCATAAATTTTGTGTGATTCCTCCAAAATATAAAGAAGAAAAAAATGAAGTATATATTACATAGCCCTTTCCCACATTTTTAAACAAATGGATGTGGACCATCCCACTGTTATACACCTTGATTTTTCACCATTCTCTCTGGGAGCTCTTTCTATGTCAATATGTGAAGGGATTTTTTTTGGCTGTACCCTAATTCATTCAACCCATCCCCTGCTTACTACTTCCAGCATGTTTGCCAGGCCATCTCTCTTTACCCTGGTCTGGGTTCCTCCCACCTGCAGCAGAAATAACAATTCTGTTTCTTCCCTGATGCCCTGCCAGCTCTCCCTGCTTTGGGTCTGATTCGCTGGTTTGTCCCTGACTGCAAGTCAGTGGCTTCAGCCCTTCCTCCCTCTCCCAGGGGAGCTGTCTGGTCCGAGTATCTCCCTGCCCAGGTAAGGAGACGGAGGCTCAGGGCATTTCAGTGGTTCACCTAGAGTCACACCATCAGGGAACGGCGAACCAGGGTAGCAACTCAGCCTCCTGACACATGGTGAAGGGATTTTTATATCAGTGTTTCTTGATCTTGCCCAGCTCCAAGTGAACCAGAAGGGACTGGTCTGGGACAGGCCTCCTCACCTAAAAATGGGGGTCACAGACACTCAGCAAGAGTGGAGACCACTGATCATCTCCTGAAGTATTTAAAACAATTTTTTAGCACACATGACACACATAGAAACTGCTTTCGTGTTGCACTCTCTTCACTGTTCTACGTGTGTGTGTGTATGTGTTTAATTGTATGTGTTTAATTCAATTCAACTAGCACTTATTGAGACCTAACTCTACCTGAAGCATGACCCTAATGCTGTGAGATGTACAGAGATGTGTAAGGGGTTGCCTATCCCCCTGGGAGTCTGACAATCATCTGGTGGGGCACAGCCCAGGCAGGCAGTGAAGAACTCTATGACAGGGATACAAACTGTCAGAAACAGCTCCCCATGAGTATTCCCAGGTTTCACCATGACAAGGAGTTTCTGATCAAAAACTACAGTCGACCTGGGTTTAAAAAATACTTGCATGGCAAACAAGCCCTGGCCATTAAGATGGCACCTCCAGAGAGATTTAGAGACACTTGCCCGGAGATACCTGCTTATATTCCAGGGAGGTGGAGTAGAGACCTTCCTCTCCCAGCCCCAGAGAGGGCCGGTTTACATCCCAGAGCAAAGGCCTCTCTGCCTCTCTGAGCGGAAGGAGAGGCAAATGTCCCAGCAGCTCCTCTATATGCTCCAAGTTTTATAATTTCGAGGTTTCTCTTCCTCCCGTGAGGTGCAGGCACCTCGCTTTCGCTGGGTTACTTACTCCTGGGGAATTAGGTGTTGGGAACTCACGCAAGACGCTCTGTGAGTAAATGCAAGTTCCCTGTCACTCTGTTCCCCGTTCTAAAGGTCTTATCTTTCTGTGTGTGTGTGTGTGTGCATGTGCGTGCGTGTGCGTGTGCGTGCATGTGTGTGTGTGTGTGTGTGTAACTGGGGTAAGCTAACTGATTAGCTTCTCAGTCCTTGCGTTTTCTGTATCTGTGCACTTTTTGCTCTTCCTGCCTTGTCACCCGGCAGTTAAGAGTGCAGGCCCTGGGCAAAGGGCCTGGCTTCATATCCACTTACTGGCTCTGTGAACCGTGGGCAAGTTACCTAACCTTTCTAGGCCTTGGTTTCCTCCTCTATAAAGTGAAGATAACAGTGCCTGCCTCACAGGGTTATTGGGAAGATTAGATGAGACAATCCATGTAGATTGCCCGGCACTGTGCCTGGTACACAGTAAGGGTTCACTAAGTGCAAACTACTCTTGCTGTTACATTTATAAGAGAGCATTGAGTACACATGAGCATCACCATCATCAGTGTACATGTACTCACTGCTCCATTACAGTGAAAACTCCTTGCAGAGTGGTGATGAAATCCTACATGTCTTTATATGTCTTCCATAACCCCCAGCACAGTACCAATCTCTCTACGAGACTTCGCAGTAAATAGTGAACAATAGAGGCCTTGTTTCCTGAGCAACACACCAACCAGGGCTCACATTTGACTTTAAGAACCTGGAATCTTCCTGCGTTGTCTCACTTACATCATCTAACAAAGTCCTGGTCCGAAGGGCGATGTCTGTGAAGAAGGAGCCCAAGCCTTTCCCCTGGATCTTGCCCAGCATGATGGTCAGGGTCTTCAGGCTCTCGTGGATGACTTCAGAACTCATGGGGTCATACAGTCCATGCACCAGCAGGTCCAGGACAATCATTTTATACTTTCTCACCTGTTACCAAGGTTTGGAAAGCATTAGCAGCACGGGAGTTGCTCCCCATGAGTTGCAAAGTATCTCCGCTCCGAATCTTCCGATAACCCGGGACTTGGACTAAGAGGCCGTGGCTTTCTTCAGCACCTGCTGCCACAACTCGCAGCAAAGTACAAATGCTTCCGTCAACCCGACCCAAGAGCCCAATTCGGCCTTGGAAGGAGAGCGGTCTGCAGCATGGCCTATGGGTGGGTGAGGCTGGGGAGGGCACGCCAAGGAGGGGGGTGGACCTGGACGATCTAGCGATCTGGGTGTATTGGGTACCTTTACAGGGGATAAGGCGAAACGGTCACTTAAGTTTACAGATGTTGAAGGAAGAGGTGGGGGAAACATCTTTTACTAAACAAGCACTGATTATTAGAAAAATTAAATTCACTGGAGGGTGTTAATCCTACCTGCAGCTGTGTGTTAATCCTACCTGCAGCTCTGTTTCCCAAGGCTGATGATCCTGAGGTGTGATGACCCTAAGACGACCCCAAATGAGTCATGTGTGCCTTTGTACAATCTCCTTCCCTTGAGAGTGTAAGGAGCCAGTGACTTGCTTGTGGCCTCTCAAACATGACAGTGGTGACGGACATCATTCCCATGGTTCCCTTACATTATATGAGACTCCATCTAGCAGACAGGAGTGGGAGACACTCTCCCACTGGCCGTGAAGAAGTGAGCTGCCATGTTGTGAGAGGGTGGCCTCAAGGAGCTGAGGGCGGCCACTCAGCAAGGAAATAGGAACCTTAGTCCTACATCTAGAAGGAAATGAATTCCAACAGCCACATGAGCTTGGAAGATGACCCTGAACTTCAGAAAGGAATGCAGTCTGGCCCACACCTTGATGGCAGCCTTGCAAGACCTTGAGTAGGGGATGCAGCTAAGTGGTACCTGGACTCCTGACCCAAGGAAACTGTAAGATAATAAACACCAGGCCCCTGATGGACTGTTACACAGCAGTAGACAACTAGTACATGAAGCCCCCCATCCCAGTGCTGAGGACTCCAGGCCGTGAGGGCTGGCCAAGTGCCCCCTGCCCTTCCTACCTTGTCCGGGGTCTCACAGGCCATAGTTCCTAGGCTTCTCATTGCCATATGACGCTTTTTAAAACTGGGGTCCCAGGCTCTCTCTGCCAAGTTGAAAGACACATTCTTCAGAGGCTCCTGCTTCTGGAGCCTCAGTTTCCAAGAGACCTGGGTGGCGAGTCAAAAATGTATTGATTTGGGAGTGTTCAGAGTCACACCCTACCCATCGCCAACCCTAATCCCTCCCTCTAAAGAAAATACTGTGTTGCCCGCTCAATTTGAATCCTTACTTCTCCACCTAAAGACATCTGGTTTTTGCTGGGAATATATTAGTTTGATCTACATAATGAAGAAATGAATGGAGGAAGAGGAAAGGGGTGGAGAAAAATAATGCAGAGCTAATGTTGAGGTACGTTTGGGGGCATTACGGAGAGAGGTGTCTAGGCAGTTGTGGGTGTGACAGAGCTGAGAAAAGGGGGCTTTAGAAGTGTTGATGTGATCTGAGAATAGGGGTCCCTTTAAGAGGACAAGGTAAGCTGTGTTCCTCCTGTCGCAGAGATTCCTTGACCCTTCTCCCTCCCCCAGCCCTTCCCCATTTTTCTGCTCTACTTCGTAGCTAAAGCTTGAAAGACGTGTCTATACTTGCTTTCTTCAGCTGCTCTCCTCCATCCTCCCTTGAACCTTCTGCAATCAGGTTGATGGCATCCATACCCCCTCCCCACCCCCTCTCCCCCAGTGTAGCTAAATCCCAGGGTCAATTCTCAGAGCTCACCTCACTCAGCCTCTCAACAGCATTTGACACAATTAGCAAAGCACATCTACAGGCATTTCAGGGCACCTGACGGATGTCCTACCTCAGAATGCGAGCATCTGAGCAATTAAGATTAGGAAAAGAAATGCATAAATAATGCAAATTGGAAGCACTGTGTGGTTGATGCAGAAATCTGTACTTCAAGGACTAAACTCTAATTAACTGCAAGGCAAGAGATAGGTTTTTAGAGCATTTAACCCCTGATGCTAGGAAGGTCCTGGTGTTCTGCACATCACAGGACATACCAACATGTCCTGGAGTCAGAACCAAGATCCAGACAAGATCCAAGAACAAACCACTTCCTCACCATCCTTATTAGTGGGTGGGGGCTGGAGAGGAGACCCACAGCCCTATTTGGTATTCAGGTGATTACCAAGTCTCATCAGTATTTCTGAATATTCACTGCAGTTCATTCTATATTTTTATCACTAAGTTCGCAGCAAGCTAAATTCTTCCCAACTCATCTTCTTGTTATCATATAAACATCCTATTTGTGTTTAAAGAGCTGTCATCAAACTTTTTTCCAGGAGAAGGAACCTCAGTAGAAGGAATGGAAGGAACCAAACGAAGGCAGAAGAGCAAGTACACATAGTGGCTGCTGAGCAGGGACATTTGTTCCTAATAATTTGTCTCAGACCTTGGAAAAGAAAGATATCACTGATGTCCTTTTCTTCTTGGGCTAGGCAGTGGGGATGCAAAGGGGCTGGTCCAGCATTCTTTTCTGTGTTTGGTCCATGGAACTAAAAAAAGAACAAATCATCATATGAGCCACAAACACTCTTGGAAGCCTCATCATTAACAAGCATCGTCACACAAAGCCCTGTGCCAGGGTAAGAATGTAAAGAAGCCGCATCCCTGAGGCCTCCTCAGGATGTCACCTTGGTGAACAGATGGAACAGTCGCATCAAAAGATAAAGAGCAACACCAACATCACTGATCATCAGGGAAACGCAAACCAAAACCACAATGAGGGATCACCTCACACCTCTCAGAGTGCACTGTCGGTCAAAGACTGCAGTGGGTTAGGACTTATTTCTTGAGGAACTGGGTGGTGAGCAATGCTCTTTTTTTTATATATAGATCTTTATTGGAGTATAATTGCTTTACAGTGTTGTATTAGTCGCTGCTGTATAACAAAGTGAATCAGCTATATGTATACATATATCCCCATATACCCTCCCTCTTGAACCTCCCTCCCACCCTCCTTATTCCACCCCTCTAGGTGGTCACAAAGCACCGAGCTGATCTCCCTGTGCTATGCGGCTGCTTCCCACCAGCCAACTATTTTACATTCGGTAGTGTATATATGTCGATGCTACTCTCACTTCGCCCCAGCTTTGCCCTCCCACCCCATGTCCTCAAGTCCATTTTCTATGTCTACCTCTTTATTCCTGCCCTGCAACTAGGTTCATCAGTATTTTTTTTTTTTTTAGATTCCATATCTGTATGCGTTAGCATATGGTATTTGTTTTTCTCTTTCTGACTTACTTCACTCTGTATGACAGACTCTAGGTCCATCACCTCACTACAAGTAACTCAATTTCGTTTCTTTATATGGCTGAGTAATATTCCATTATATATATGTGCCACATATTCTTTATCCATTCGTCTGTTGATGGACACTTAGGTTGCTTCCATGTCCTGGCTATTGTAAATAGTGCTGCAATGCACATTGTGGTACATGCCTCTTTTTGAATTATGGTTTTCTCAGGGTATATGCCCAGTAGTGGGATTGCTGGGTCATGTGGTAGTTCTATTTTTAGTTTTTTAAGGAACCTCCATACTGTTCTCCATAGTGGTTGTATCAATTTACATTCCCACCAACAGTGCAGGAGGGTTCCCTTTTCATCACACCCTTTCCAGCATTTATTGTTTCTAGATTTTTTGATAATGGCCATTCTGACTGGCATGAGGTGATACCTCATTGTAGCTTTGATTTGCATTTCTCTAATAATTAGTGATGTTGAGCATCTTTTCATGTGCCTCTTGGCCATCCGTATGTCTTCCCTGGTAAAATGTCTATTTAGGTCTTCCACTCATTTTTTAACTGTATTGTTTGTTTGTTTTTTTGCTATTGAGCTCCATGAGCTGTTTGTATATTTTGGAGATTAATTCTTTGTCTGTTGTTTCATTTGCAAATATTTTCCCCCATTCTGAGGGTTGTCTTTTTGTCTTGCTTATGTTTTTCTTTGCTGTGCAAAAGCTTTTACATTTAATTAAGTCCCATTTATTTATTTTTGTTTTTATTTCTGTTACTCTAGGAGGTGGGTCAAAAAAGATCTTGCTGTGGTTTATGTCAAAGAGTATTTCTTCCTATGTTTTCTTCTAAGAGTTTTATAGTGTCTGGTCTTACATTTAAGCCTTTAATCCATTTGGAGTTTACATTTGTGCATGGTGTTAGGTAGTGTTTTAATTTCATTCTTTTACATGTAGCTGTCCAGTTTTCCCAGCACCACTTATTGAAGAGGCTGTCTTTTCTCCATTGCATGTTCTTGCCTCCTTTGTCATAAATTAGGTGCCCATATGTGCGTGGGTTTATCTCTGGGCATTCTATCCTGTACCATTGATCTATATTTCTGTTTTTGTGCCAGTACCATACTGTCTTGATTACTGTAGCTTTGTAGTATAGTTTGAAGTCCAGGAGCCTGATTCCTCCAGCTCTGTTTTTCTTTCTCAAGAGACCCACAAAAACAAACCCAAAACAATTAAGAAAATGGTAATAGAAACACACATACCAATAATAACCTTGAATGTAAATGGATTAAATGCCCCAAACAAAACAGACTGGCTGAATGGATACAAAAACAAGACCCATGGGCTTCCCTGGTGGTGCAATGGTTGAGAGTCCGCCTGCCAATGTAGGGGACACGGGTTCGTGCCCCCGTCTGGGAAGATTCCACATGCCGTGGAGCAGCTGGGCCCGTGAGCCATGACCGCTGAGCCTGCGCGTCCGGAGACTGTGCTCTGCAACGGGAGAGGCCGCAACAGTGAGAGGCCCGCGTATCGCAAAAAAAAACAAAAAATAAGACCCATATATATGCTGTCTACAAGAGATCCATTTCAGACCTACGGACACATACAGACTGAAAGTGAAGGGATTAAAAAAGATATTCCATGCACCTGGAAATCAAAAGAAAGCTGGAGTAGCAATACTTGTATCAGATAAAATAGACTTTAAAATATAGACTGTTACAAGAAATAAGGAGAGATATTACATAATGATCAAAGGATCAATCCAAGAAGAAGGTATAACAATTATAAATGTTTATGCACCCATCATAGGAGCACCTCAATACATAAGGCAAATGCTTACAACCATGAAAGGAGAAATCGACAGTAACACAATAATAGTAGGGGCTTTAACACCCCATTTACACCCATGGACAGTTCATCCAAACGGAAAATAAATAAGGAAACACAAGCTTTAAATGACACAATAGACCAGTTAGAGCTAATTGGTATTTATAGAACATCCCACCCAAAAGTGGCAGATTACACTTTCTTTCAAGTGCACATGGAACATTCTCCAGGATAGATCACATCTTGGGTCACAAATCAAGCCTCAGAAAATTTAAGAAAATTGAAATCATATCAAGCATCTTTTCTGACCACAATGCTATGAGATTGGAAACCAGTTACAGGAAAAAACCTGTAAAAAACACAAATACATGGAGGCTAAACAGTGTGCAACTAAAAAACCAAGAGATCACTGAAGAAATCAAAGAAGAAATTTTTAAAAACATAGAAACAAATGACAACGAAAACATGACAACCCAAAACCTATGGGACGAAGCAAAAGCAGTTCTAAGAAGGAAGTTTATAGCAATACAATCTCACCTCAAGAAACAAGAAAAATCTCAAATAAACAATCTAACCCTACCCTTAAAACAACTAGAGAAAGAAGAACAAAGAAAACCCAAACTATGTAGAAGGAAAGAAATTATAAAGATCAGAGCAGAAGTAAATGAAATAGAAAGGAAGAAAACAATAGCAAAAATCAATAAAACTAAAAGTTGGTTCTTGGAGAAGATAAACAAAATTGATAAACCCTTAGCCCGATTCATCAAGAAAAAAAGGGAGAGGACACAAATCAATAGAATTAGAAATGAAAAAGGGGAAATCACAACTGACACTGCAGAAATACAAAGGATTATAAGAAACTACTACAAACAACTGTAAGCCAATAAAATGGACAGCCACAAAGAAATGGACAAATTCTTGGAAAGGTACAATTTTCTAAGACTGAACCAGGAAGAATTAGAATATATAAACAGACCTATCACAAGTAATGAAATTGAAACTGTAATTAAAAATCTTCCAACAAACAAAAGTCCAGGACCAGATGGCTTCACAGGCAAATTCTATCAAACATTTAGAGAAGAGCTAACACATATCCCTCTCAAACTCTTCCAAAAAATTGCAGAGGGAGAAACACTCCCAAATTCATTCTACAAAGCCACCATCACCCTGATACCAAAACCAGAAAAAGATATCACAAAAAAAGAAAATTATAGACCAATATCACTGATGAACATAGATGCAAAACTCCTGAACAAAATACTAGCAAACAGAATCCAACAACACATTAAAAGGATCATACACCATGATGAAGTGGGATTTATCCCAGGGATGCAAGGATTCTTCAATATATGCAAATCAATCAATGTGATACACCATATTAACAAATTAAGGGATAAATACTATATGATCATCTCAATAGATGCAGAAAAGGCTTTTGACAAAATTCAACACATATTTATGATAAAAAAAAAAAACTCTCCAGAAAATGGGCATAGAGGGAACCTACCTCAACATAATAAAGGCCATATATGACAAACCCACAGCAAGCATCATACTCGATGGTGAAAAACTGAAAGCATTTCCATTAAGATCAGGAACAAGACAAGGATGTCCACTCTTATTCAACATAGTTTTGGAAGTCCTAGCCACAGCAATCAGAGAAGAAAAAGAAGTAAAAGGAATCCAAATTGGAAAAGAAGAAATAAAACTGTCACTGTTTGCCGATGACATGATACTATACCTAGAAAATCCTAAAGATGCCACCAGAAAACTACTAGAACTAATCAATGAATTTGGTAAGGTTGCAGGATACAAAATTAATGCACAGATATCTCCGGCATTCCTATACACCAACAATGAAAAATCAGAAAGAGAAATTAAGGAAACATTCCCATTTACCACTGCAACAAAAAGAATAAAATACCTAGGAATAAATCTGCCTAAGGAGGCAAAAGACTTGTACTCAGAAAACTATAAAATACCAGTGAAAGAAATCAAAGATGACATAAACAGAGGGAGAAATATACCATGTTCTTGGATTGGAAGAATCAATATTGTGAAAATGACTATACTACCCAAAGCAATCTACAGATACAATGCAATCCCTATCAAACTACCAATGACATTCTTCACAGAATTAGAACAAAAAACTTTACAATTCGTATGGAAACACAAAACCCGAATGGCCAGAGCAATGCTGTTTGTTCTTTGTTTACGAGATATAGAATTTGTAATTTTTCCATGTGTATAAATTATTTAAAATATACATTAAAAATAAATACAGCTTGCAAAGTGATTCTGATCTACAGCCTGACTTGAGACCCACTAAAGTAAACCAGTGCGTCTCAGACTTTAATGTGCACTTGAATCATCAGAGGAACTTGTTAAAATGCAGGTTTGGACTCAGTGGGTTTCAGGCGGGGGCTCCAGATTTTT